GGTATCACTGGTGCCTGGCCTCCGGGCTATGTTAGAATTCTAATCCTTTTTAGGTGTGTGTGCCCTGCTTCCAAGTCATCCCTAAGACCCAGCTAGCACTGGTTTCTTAACCTGTCCTGGGCCAGCTCAGTCAGGCTGTGCAATCCCCGAGCCCTCTCCTGGGTGGCACAACCCAGGCTCGGGCATGACTCACTGATTACATGCACTGCCAAGACTTCACCCTTTCTCTTTGCTTATATGGAAGGGACCCCAAGAGGCGAGCCTGGGTGATGAGTGAGAAGTTCCGTGATACGTAAAGCAAGGCACAGACTCAGGGAGATGTACAAAGTGCGCACAAGATCAAAACAAAGCAAGCTGTTCCTCAGGAGGCCAAAGACCATGAAGGAAGTATTAGCAGCAGCTGGAGGAAAGAGACGGATTGCTCTCAAATGTAGGTAATTTTAATCAAAACGATGGAAGTCACATCACAGAAACTGTATCTTTAAAGGGTAAGAGGAAATTAATTTCAAACCACAATTTAATATCCAGTGAAGACAGCCTTAAAAAGTGGTGAGACAGACATGTTTAGACAAATAACTGAGATAATTTGTCATCGTGAAACCCATCTACGTAGACAGTGCCATTACTCATTGACTGGGATTCCTAGAACAATCATAAAAGTTTACGCATAAGTTCGTTTCCTTTTTTGTTTCTGACTTTTACGTGGAATGTGTTTTTTACCACCAACTATAGAATTGACATGACTTACAGAAAAATAACCGTTGTTTAGTTAAATATCTATCCATAATTTACTAAGACGTTGAATATCAAATGCATACCCACTCTTTCCTAGAGTGGATTTTGAAAATATGCCATTTTAAGTGACTTTGCGTTACATATGAATTCCCTATCCCTTCGACAAGGATTTTCTTAAGTCAATGTATTTGATGGCATGTTTCCAAGGCCTCACGCTTGTTAAGAAACTAGAGAACATTAAGATATTTAAATAGTTCTTTATAATTCTTATGCCCTAGAGAAATATATTATTAACATTATGGTAAATAATTGCTAATAGTTTAATGTAAAGTACTCATTTCATACGCGACGTTGGAGAAATGCAGGTAGAATTTGGCAACCGCGGGTTTCAGTCAACAAAAGGCAATGCTTTCATACAATGCCTTAATACTAATGGGATAGTCTGACAATCTCCAGAACAACTTTATGTCAGGCACTTGTCGTACTATGGAGAACCAGGAAGAGAGAGGGTAACTATTAAGTCCTTCAAAAGCCACCTGGGTCAAAAGATGCACAGAAAAAGTTAGCTGATTCGAGGAGCAACCAAATCAGGTGAGGCAACACACTGACATTGGTGCAAGTCTTACATTTCTACCACCCTCCTTCTGCAGACTTCATAAATACCCTCGGATGGGCTCTTACTCGGTTCTGCATTAACAAAGGAGTTTTTCTGATGAAACATTACAACCAGGATACACGTCCTGTGCCTAATGAAGGAGATAAAAGTGCTATGTGCACAAGACACTGTTAGAGAGACTCACGAGAAACCAGAATATTTTTAGGTGTCCTGAAGATCTGGTCTTTAAACACTAAGTGTCCTTTGTAAACCAAGTATCTTCAAACCACGGACACTACTGGAAAATGCCACATGATATGAAACAGTGATTGTACAGTGCCATTCACTAAACCATCCATTCTGTGTTTGGTATTCTCGTTCCATGTGTGATGTCAGTCGGTTCTTCAGACCAACACCCCAGAGTGTGCATTACCCCCATTTCACGGGTAAGGAATCTGAGGTAGAAATGGAGCAAAATGAGGCAACACAACTTTTTAGTGGTGGAGCTGAGATCTGAATTGAACTCTACATAATCTGAAATCCTTTGCTTTGCTGGGGATAGACTTAGGTCAGAAAGCCTCCATATGAGGCCAAGGAGGTTTGCCTTTTATCCTGTGGAAGAGGAGAGGGTGCACAACATGAAGCAGAGGACTTAATACACATATTTTTTTTATTATAAAACTCGGTTATCGTGTGCAAATTTGTTTTTAAAAATCAGTAACACCGTCCAAAGCACGGCAAATTTAGTGTCCAACTATTATATTCAAAGAAAGAGGAACTTCAGTGGCTAAGAACAGATCCCTGTTTGCAGAGCAGAGACAATCCATATGTCTTGATAAGGCAATTCTCTTCAAGGCAAAGCAGGTGTCTTCCAGACCTCCTTGCTCTCTGATAGCTCACTGAACTCCAAGTGAGGGGAGTATTGGGTGGAAGAACCCTAATACGTAGTCATTAGTATGTTCTTAAAAGTGTTGAGGCTGTTTCAGTGAAGAGGAATTAAGAAGAGACTGATTGTATCACATCTCAGGGGCTGTCATCAGTACCAAATGCTTCCAAAGGAGGTGCAGTGGATGGGTAAATGCTAGCTGCCTGGTAGAAGAACACCGTGTAGCAGCCACTAATCCCTGCATGTCCCCAACAGAGCAACTTTCTTGGCAGGAGTCATCCTGGTCTAAACTGGCATTATTATTATTCCTCTGTGAAATCGATGGGTTGTTAGTGGGATGCCATTACTAAGAGGCACTGGGGCAATGAGGCTGATGTACGAGAATAAGAAAGACCACGTGTACCTTGGCCAACCGCCAGTATTTTCCTTTGTACAAAAAAATAAGAGTTTCGCCTTTGGTCACAACAGCAAAAGTAAGAACAACATACGTGATATCCAATTTAACCTAGAGGAAAGTGCACATTGATCTAGAGCTAAATCTTTGGGAGAAGCATGAGAGCACTTTGTGTTCTTCATGCAAAATGGCTTAAGGATTAGAAAACAGACATATTTTGGAAGAAGGAAATATCAAATCCAACAAGTGATCATTTCACAGAGGCCTTCCGTTTACTGCACACAAAGGCATTAATGTTTCCCTTACAATATATAAATGCCATTTTACAGTGTGAGTGCTGTTTGGCTTTTTAAAAAACGGGTCAGAGTCACACTTATGTCTTGCATTCGTTAAAGGATAATTAAAAAAAAAAAAAAAGGTAAAATCAAACTCCCATACACAATGTGAACTGATGTCAAGGATTTTATTCAACTCAATTAACTGGCGAGGGATCCAGTAAGATGTTACAACCAGTCTGAGGGAGAACGGAAGAGAACAGACCCGTACACTGATGATCGATAATGCTGAAATGAATTTGCTGAATATATAAAACTGATCAACAGCCAGAGGCAACCATCAACGGACGACCAACACTGGGCACACTTGCATTCATTACCATGACTTTGCTCCCAGTTGGAAATTAGCTCCACGACAGTCAGTGAAACATCAGCAGGCAGGGTGCACCCAGGGAATGTGTTCTTCCAATATTCCAATGCCTTTCTCAACGTTCCCACTACAAAAGGCTGAGTAAATCCAGTAAAAGGAGTTCACTGCCAAAGTGTAATGTTGTCGGGTAAATGATCCCAGAAATGTGTTAATAAGGCTCTCGGGCACGCTAGGTATGTATTCTGAATTCAAATTATATTTGCATCAAAGGCTGTGTTAGAAATATGTCTGTTTTTAGAGGAGGGGGATGGTTTTTGTAAGGTAGAAACCACATCCTCAAATGTGGACATGCACGTAGATATAAGTTTATGATACAGGCCACAGTTATCTTCATACTGAAAACAAACTGCCGATGGCACGGTTCAGAGTGGCCCTCTGAGTGGAAGTCCACAGAGAGGAGGATTTAAGGGCATGGCCTCTGAGCGGAGGACCACTGAGAGGTTTTGAGGGCATGGCCTCTGAGTGGAGGTCCAGAGAGAGGTTTTGAGGGCATGGCCTCTGAGTGGAGGTCCAGAGAGAGGTTTTGAGGGGGCCTCTGAGTGGAGGTCCACAGAGAGGTTTTGAGGGCACGGCCTCTGAGTGGAGGTCCAGAGAGAGGTTTTGAGGGCACGGCCTCTGAGTGGAGGTCCAGAGAGAGGTTTTGAGGGCACGGCCTCTGAGTGGAGGTCCAGAGAGAGGTTTTGAGGGCATGGCCTCTGAGTGGAGGTCCAGAGAGGTTTTGAGGGCACGGCCTCTGAGTGGAGGTCCAGAGAGAGGTTTTGAGGGCACGGCCTCTGAGTGGAGGTCCAGAGAGAGGTTTTGAGGGCATGGCCTCTGAGTGGAGGTCCAGAGAGGTTTTGAGGGCACGGCCTCTGAGTGGAGGTCCAGAGAGAGGTTTTGAGGGCATGGCCTCTGAGTGGAGGTCCAGAGAGAGGTTTTGAGGGCATGGCCTCTGAGTGGAGGTCCACAGAGAGGTTTTGAGGGCATGGCCTCTGAGTGGAGGTCCACAGAGAGGTTTTGAGGGCACAGAAAGATGGTCCATTTTGCTAATAAGGAGAATGATTTCTCAGGGCTCGTCCATGACACGGCATTTCCACTGATTGCAAATGAAATGCAGATATGATCTCACTCCTATCAGCTGCTATGACACGTTAACACCAACACTTAAAAAAGTGAAGTTGTATAGGAAGTATACAAATATAATCTATGTGTACATACGTATATATACATATATATGTAAGTATATAGATACATGTACACATATTTAACTTTTTCTAGCCAGGGTTTAGAAAAACTGAAAAAGAAAAGAAATGAACACAAACAGAATTTAATTTTGTCTTGGGAAAGGAAATATTTTACATATATATATAGCATAAGTATGTATAAATACACAGGCACATATGTACACACATGCACGAGCACTCACAAGCACGTATATGTATGTGTATTTGCCACATATGACTATTACATGACTATTCAAATGCAGTAACACCGAATGATCATTCCCATATGATTATGCGAATGAGCGTTTCGGTCTCTGTTCTGGGCTGTGTCTGCTTTGCTGTCTCTCAGCTGGGATGTTGAGGCTTCAGCACTCGTCAGGGGAGGCCGAGCCCACATGGGCTAGAAGGCCGACCTCACGGGCTGGAAGGACCGCTCAGGTGCCGTGGGTCACCCGTGGTGCCCAGGGAGGCATGGCGGGCCTCTCACTCGAAGGGCGGCAAACCGAACAGCTCGGGCTGGAAGTCCTGCAGGGAATCCAGCACCAGGGTGGCCTTGGACGTCAGGTGTCGGTGCAAGTTCCTATCTGGAACCATGACCACCTGCATGCTGGCTGCAAGGGCCGCCTCCACGCCGTTGGGAGCGTCTTCAAACACAAGGCACTGTAGGGTGAGGAAGAAAGACAAGGTTGAGACGGCCTTTCCCGTAAGCCGGCAGCTAGACTGGGTTTTCACGATTTTTATTATTGACCTGCTCAGCGCGTTGCCATGGTGTACACGGACACAGAGATGAAGCGGAGGCTTTCCAGTTTGTGAACCGCGGTGAGGCCAGCACGCCGGGTCTTACCCACGGGCCCACAGGCTTCCCGCAGCCGTGACTTCGCAGGGCACCGTGTTCCGTCCCTGCTGCCCAGGTGCTAGCGACGCGTGGTGCGGTTGGACGGCAAGACGGGATGCTGGGTTTATGTTTCCTTGGAATCATACAGATCTGTGCCATCGATAATTGAACATTCGGAGCATGAGAGTGAAGTGTGTGGGGGGGGGAAGCACGTGTTTTAAACATGAAGTCACTCCAGAGCCGAAATGTTTCAGGAACTGCAGTGTGGAAAGTGAGCGGTTAAGGTATCTGAACGAAAGCCTGGGCCTGTGTGTGTGCACAAGGCAGGCAACAAAAATCTCCAGCACCAAGACCAGCTGCCAGGAGCGGCATCTCCTCTGGCTTACTGGGCAAACCCACCCTGTTATCAGGACGACTGCCACCCCGTCAGACACCCACATTTAAAATGGGGTCTCTGTGCACTGTGTTGATCAGGCAGCTCCTAAACGTGCGATCCCGCGAACAACGCCCCGGGACTCTCAAAACGACAGATCCTAAGTCTACGAATGGGTAGGTCAGCTAGTCATCCGACATCACTCTCTATCCAGGAAGACACGTACCTAGAAAGCTCCCTCATTTCTGAAACAGCTTCATTAATTCTCTTCAGTGAAGATTCTACTCTGTAGGGGCCAGACATGTATAAAGGGGGCTCCAGTCACGGCTGTGAGATGCTCCCCCACTGTTCACACTGTTGTCCTCAGCTGAGCCCCAGCTGTCAGGAGGTGCCGAGGTCACACCTTTGCACCTGCCCAACCCCTTGTCCCCCTCCTCTTATCACGAGAACTCTGTCCCCGGTGGGTAGTGGCAGCTCACTGTGCTGGTGACCCGGCAAGGCTCAGGGACACTGCTCTGGGTGCAGCATGACACTGCAAGTTCTGCATTCTTTGGGGCCTTTAGGTCCCTGGAAAATAGCTATACATTCACACTCAATCACACAAACACACGTGCACAGACTCTTACACTCACACACACAGGAACTGGCACTCAGGCACACGTGCACAAACTCACACTCAGGCACCCACACTCACAGACATGCACGCTCACTCAGACTCAGAAACCCGCACTCAGATACACATGTGCACACTCACTGACACTCATGTACATTCAAACCAGGCCTTTCCTGGCGGAGTGTTCTGGAGCAGGCACACTGACTCTTTCCTTTTCCCTTCCCCCTCCTTCCCTCCGGCCTGGGGCTAAGAGATGTGAGCCGCCTCCCCTATGAGGCAGAAGTAAGGACCCAATGAAGCCCTACCCATCATCATGACACCTCAGGGTCAGCACGAGGCTACCCTCACAGAGGAAGCTGAGGTGAGGGCTCAGGGAGGCCCCACGCATCATCATGACACCTCAGGGTCAGCACGAGGCTACGCTCACAGAGGAAGCTGAGGTGAGGGCTCAGGGAGGCCCTACCCATCACCATGACACATCAGGGTCAGCACTAGGCTACCCTCACAGAGGAAGCTGGTTTGCCCCAGAAATGGGCCTTTGAGCACTAAACCAGGCAGATTTAGACTACAGTACATGTAGTCCTTTTGCCTTCGTTCTGAGAACTTACAAAGGCCCCTGGGTTCTTTTTCAAGTTCTTGGCTTCCGCCCTGAGTCAACAGTTCCCATCTGAGTCGGACTGAGTCTGCTTAGAATGGGCAGTTTGGTTCTTTAGCTCTGCCTCAGAGACTTCTTCTTAGTGACATTTCCAACCCTGCCTCTTTACGTTTAAGACCTAATCGCATTCTAAATGTCCTCGACTGTTTTATCTGGGACCACGGATAGGCACTTAAATGTCCAGTGGCACTGTGGTTTTGAATGACGCCCTATGTTCTCTGAGGATTTGGAAGCTTTGTGCAGTCCACCTGTGAAATGTCACTCGGAACACAGCAAGAGATTTTGCTGATCCCTTGGGGTAACTGCACTTGGCGAAAGTCATGAAAGCAGCTTTTGCTTTGCATTGTGCGGCTCCTTCCGAGGGACATGGTGGGCGGGCAGGTGGGAGGGAGATCTGCTGCCTCAGAAACCAAAAAGAGGGCTCAGAACGCTGCAGAGAGCATCCACACCTAAAAGCTCCTTCCAAATGCCATTGTTTGTGTTCCAGGACAAAGCAGGAGGGATTAAGGGTGATGAGGAAAAGCTTCTCGGGCATTTATGGCCGCGGCACAGAGCGCACCTGGCAATCCTCTTTCTCAAAGTGTGACCATTTCCTAGGGTGTACACATCACATCAGTTTCTCTGTTTTCCATTCGTAACCTGTCCCCACTAATTTTAGAATCCATTACCCAGATACAGCACTGAGATCTAAACTGTGATGTGTTTGGTGCACACGAGAGAGTGCAGAACCTTGGAAGACACAAAGAACAGCGAAATGTCTGGGGAGCGTCCGTGCCCAGGCTGCTCTCCCTGCAAAGTATGTGGAGCAGCACACACGGGACAGCAGATGCACAGCAAACATGCACACTGCTGAGAACCACCGCGGTGCTGGGTCTGCATGGCCAGCCTCCCCACCTGCTGTGTCCAGGACTGGATTCCTCCTGATGCCACAGCATCTGGAACAGTACATGTTCTCCGGAGTCTTCTGAGACGCAGAACCGCAGAGCAGGACAACTCCTGTATCTCAAAGCACCTATAAAAACGTCTCAAAAGCTTTTTATGTCTTCCTTCTGGCCTGTGTCCTGATTCCTAAGATCTAATGTTCCTAAGGACCACACATGGGGAAAAAGTGCCCAGTGCCTAAACACCTAGACATTTTATGAATAGTCATAGCATAGCTTATCTACCTACTGAAACCCAAAAACAAATCTTTGAAGGTTGCCCGAAACAACTGTGCCTATTAATCACAGCAGTCAAAGGTCACAAAACCATTGAAAGATATAAGCTAGAATAACACAGTTCAAATCTTGCACACATAAAGGCAGGAAGAATGTGTTTTATTCAAATACCCAAATAAGTCTGTGTGGTTTCTACCTGCCACACCCGGCTCACAGAGAAAGAATTTCACTCTTTCAGCATGTAACGTGAAAGGAGCATTACATTGTGGAGACCTGGGCTCTGGTCCTAAATTCTTTTAAGTACTTTGGTGTTTCCCGAGCTCTGACCTAGCCCTTCCCACCCTGCATTGACTCATGACACTGGGCCACTTGTAAAATGGGAATTATTTATGTGCACTTAGCTCTTTGCAGGAAGGAGAGTTGGGGCAGCAGAAACCTTTGTCCGTCCTTGACCTGGCGTCCCATCCCTGTGCCAGGAGATTCACATGTGCACCTGTGTGTGGACATGCGTGTGGTGCACCCTAATTAACGTAGTGACTTGTTTTTTGTAACACGGCACAGGGGGTGGGTACTCCAGAACACACTTCCATGACTTTGAGGAAGCTGCTGGGCAGGAAGAAGATCCTCCTCCCAGCTGTGTGCACAGGACGGGGACTGCCCCTGGCCGTAAGGAGGCAGGGCTGGAGGACCCCGCACGTTCTCGGGGTGCCATGGCAAACAGTGAGCATCCGGTGAACTGCTGCTAGAGATGCTGGAGGTGTCCTGGCCCAGCACACAAAGCAACAAAGGGGCTACAGGGTGTGCGAGCTGGAGGATGCTGGTTGACCCAGACCTGGCCTTGTCACAGGGAAGGGTTCTGAGCCACGGGAAGTTCGGAAATAAGCTGAAGATCACATGGGCACGCAGGCGACAGAATTTAGGACCAGAGCCCAGGTCTCCAAAATGTAACGTTCTTTTCACGTTACACGCTGAAGGCAAAAATAAATCTGAATTCCATCTCCAGAAGAGGAGATGAGCTTAATTAAAGCGTAGCCTGAAGGGTTTAATTTAGAAAGAATGACATGTGCAAGTATCCGGGAGCTTACCACCCGGAGGTGCTGAAACCACTTCTCTGAAGCTGTGTAAGCAGAGCTGCGCCGGGTCAGGCGGCATCCGTGTGTGTCTCCTTGCAGCCGGCTCATCAGCTGCACCCGGGGCATCGCGAGGTCCTTGCACTTGAATCTTTTAAAGATGACCATCCTATAACTAAGATGTTCCATCTTGTGATGAACCAGCCCGCCGTAAGAGAGTCTTCGTGTGACAGTGGCGGGGATGCACAGAAATAGGTGGGATTCAGCAAATACTTAAGCAAAAGGCAGTGTGATGGTGGAGGCGCGGGACAGGAAGGCAAAGGTCGTTCCAAACTGTCTGGCCTGGTGGGCGCCGGGGCCACTGTGTTGGTGGAAGGCAGCTTGGTTTTGTGAGAGGCTGGGTGCAAGGCCAGCGCTGAGTGGCCAGGTGTCCAGCCGTGACTGCAAAGACAAACGGGGGAGAGCGGGCAGGGCCCCAGCAGCCGTGGGCTTCTCTGCGGTGAGCTCAAGATGCAGGAGGGAGTGAGCTCAAGATGCAGTGAGCAGAGGGGGCAGCAGCAGGACCAGGTGACGGGCTGGTCCGGAGGGAGGGACGGCCACCCAGCACGTCCTGCTGTCGCCCCCTCTGCTCTGACTCCCGGGTGATGCTTTCTGCTCAGCCCCCACACTGTGCCCACCGGTCATGAGGGAGTCAGTGTCCCCACTGTGCCCTCTTCTGCTGTGTCCTCACCAGCTCAGGTCAGCAGAGCTAGGACAGGGTGGCGGTGGCCCCAGACGGACGGGATCGATCGGACGAGGGCCAGTCGTCAACTCTGCCCCTGTGCTCCCTTGGGACAGAAGTGCACAGACAGACGCAGGATTTTGCTTGGTGACTAATCCTGCCTTTCCAGCAGTTACAAGGGTCCCTTTTAAGTTACATGCTGTTCCGGAATGAGCACACTTTTCAAATGTGACTAC